CATAGTCGAAAATAAACGGAGCATTTCACGCAATTTTCTGGAGCTTTTCAATATACACTATTCTCAATGTTTTTCTTAAGTTTCATTTAAATCGGAGTTTGGGAAACTTTTGGAGGAATTTTCAAATCTGAACCTGCATAGTTAAGATTTTACCTCATTGATTGGCAGTTTTGAAAAATTCGCAGTGGCGAAACTGAACAGAGCAGATTCCGCAACCCTATGCTTATTTTACACGGCACCAGTTTCTATGTTTTCCCAAAGGTTTACTCAAATTGGGGTTTTACCGGAATTTTCAAAACTGAACCTGCAAAGTTAATATCTCACCTCCTTGATGGCTCATTTTCAAAAAATCGCATAGCCGAAAATAAACGGAGCATTTCCCGCAATTTGCTGGATCTTTTCAAAAGACACTATTCTCATTGTTTTTCTTAAGTTTCAGTTAAATCGGAGTTTGGGGAAGTTTGGGAGGAATTTTCAAACCTGAACCTGCATATTAAAGATTTTACCTCATTGATTGGCAGTTTTGAAAAATTCGCAGTGTCGAAACTGAACAGAGCAGATGCCGCAACTTTCTGAGTGTTTTACACGGCACCAGTTTCTACGGTTCCCCAAAGTTTTACTCAAATTGGGGTTTTACCGGAATTTTCAAAACTGAACCTGCAAAGTTAAGATCTCCCCTCCTTGATGGCTCATTTTCAAAAGGTCGCATAGCCGAAAATAAACGGAGCATTTCACGCAATTTTCTGGAGCTTTTTAATATACACTATTCTCAATGTTTTTCTTAAGTTTCATTTAAATCGGAGTTTGGGGAAGTTTTGGAGGAATTTTGTAACCTAAACCTGCATAGTTAAGATTTTACTTCATTGATTGGCAGTTTTGAAAAATTCGCAGTGTCGAAACTGAACAGAGCAGATGCCGCAACTTTCTGAGTGTTTTACACGGCACCAGTTTCTATGGTTCCCCAAAGTTTTACTCAAATTGAGGTTTTACCGGAATTTTCAAAACTGAACCTGCAAAGTTAAGATCTCACCTGATTGATGGCTCATTTTCAAAAAAATCACATAGCCGAAAATAACTCGAACCTAAATGGAGCGGATACCAGAAATGTCTGGACCTTTTAAAAGACACTTCATTTTAACTTTTCCTAAAGTTTTACTAGAATCTGAGTTGAAATGGCGGGTGAAGCAATTTTCAAAATTCACTCGCAAACTTAAACGTGCAATTTATTGTATGTGGGTTTTTAAAAATCCGCCATTTTGAGTTTTCTGTTTTCATAAATTTTTACTCAAATTGGAGCCCTAATGGGGTCTGGAGCAATTTTCAAAATGGAGTCTTTAAACTTGAAGAAGCAACTTAATGAATGCGGGTTTTGGAAAACACGCCATTTTGAAACTAGGTTGTGCACAGTTCGGAAAGATTTTCCATCCCTTATTAGGAACGTGGGTTTCTGTTTTTTCAAAGCTGCACTCAAATTAAGGCTTTAATGGGCTCTGGAAAAACTTTAAAATTTCAGCTTGCAAACTTGAATTGAAGGCTTTGAAAAATTTGCCCTTTTGAAACTAGACTGAGCACAGTGCGGAAAGTTTTTCGATTCTTCCGTGGAAACTTCATTGTCTGTTTTCGAAAAGTTTCACAACTTGCAGGCGCAAACCGATCTCATTCTGTGCTCTCTTCCACCTTCCGTCTACCAGAACACTCACATCCTCAAACCCTGTGAACTTGAAGTTTCTTTAATTAAAGCTTGTTTTGATGCTTAAGCAAACAACCAAACGGGTTACGGCCCTGAAGCGCCGAATCTATTTACAAACGGCCACTAAACACTTTAGGCCATGCCCATTAAGACCGGTAGATAATTTTGAATAACGATGGCCCCGGATAAAAGAACACAGCGAACAGAATTAATCGGTTGCATTTAGCGAGGGATTTCAATGCTTTGGTTTACTGCAAAATGAGTTTTAACGGAAATTGCTGGGGCTTAAAAACTGTCTGCGAAAAGTTGCTACTTAACTGGTTGCAGTGGCATTTTGTCCAACAATGCACTTTGTCATGAAACTTCCGCGGCTTATCTGCGCGCTCGAATGGTTCCCAGATGGGCTTCGCCCATCAGATTAAAGCCAATTTACCTTGCAAGACCGCATAATTAAGAAGAGGCTCATATCATTGCGTCGGGATCTGGTGACATGATTCCCTTAATTATCCTAATTTATTTGCCAAGATCGCCATCTGAGATAGGCAGGCAGCTTGTTTACCCGTAGACTGAGGAGGAGGCTTTCAGAATGCCATTCTGTTGCAGAGTCGCCCCTGCTCGAAGAAACGGCCATCAGTGCATCGACCCCAAAGCCCACACCAGCCGAACCGGATGAGAATCTGCTCCTCAACACCGATCTGCCCATTTTCCTCGCCGAGCCTCAAAACTCCTTTGTGGTGAAGAATCGCGCCGCCACCCTACACTGTCGTGCCGCTCATTCGCTTCGCCTCTACTTCAAGTGCAATGGAGCTCGCAAAGTCGACACTCAGGACTTTCATTTCGTCGATCCTCAAACGGGCGTGCGGATCATGGAGGCGGAGGCCAATGTCACCAGGGACATGGTGGAGGAGTTCTTCGGCAAGGAGAAGTTCAAGTGCGAGTGTTTCGCCTGGAATGGCAAGGGCAGCATCAAGAGTCAACCGGCCACTGTGGAAGTTGCATGTGAGTTTTTGAACAGCATCTTTTTCTTTGGTACTTCTTTCGGAGGAAGACGTGCTAATCACGAGACCTGAGTTCAGTGACGTCATACGTCAGGGCTGAGCGAGTTTGTGTCAAGCGCTAATTGAAAACTTAACAGGTTTACTGAAACAAAACCTCAGAGCGGTCATGAGATTTTTGCAGCAAAAACGTATTTTAACTATGGCGTTTTAAAAGACAATTCTGTTTATTGATAGGGGATAGTAGGGATGATGTTAGGGGCCATTCATTCTCTTTCCCCACACCAGCGAAATTGGCACAATGGTTTCTAAGTACCTCCTACTTACATTTAACTGGAAATGTACCTTTCTACATCAAGCACTTTGAAAGTGCATCTAGATTAGTAGATAGGGAGGACACTAGGGAACACTCCTCTGCTATTCTTACCCGGCAGCGGAAGCCGTGGGAGAGCACTAACATTTTTTGTTGATGGAGCTTGTTTTGTCCCAGAGTTCTCGAGAGATTTGTTGAGAAACGTTTTTAACGGTTCCTCTTTTGCAGGAAATATTCCTATAGCCAGGAACTTTGAAAGCTTATCTATATTAGGAGGTAGGGGAGTGGCTAGGGAACAATCTTCTTCTAATCCCACCTGGCTGTGAAAGCCGGGGCCGGTAAATGAAAGTGGAAAGACGGTTCCCTAATAGTTCCTGCTTTTGCTTTAGTTGGTCGGACAATTTCTAGTTGAAGATACTAGTTTCGCCTTAAAGTTCTCATGAGAATTTTCAGAAAAAACTGCATTTTAACAAATGCTCTTGAGGATGAAAAATCACTGTTCTTCTATATCCTTGAACTTTGAAAGTGAATCTCGGTAATAGATAGGGAGGACACTAGGGAACACTCCTCTGCTATTCTTACCCGGCAGCGGAAGCCGTGGGAGAGCACTCAAATTTTTAGTTGATGGAGCTTGTTTTGTCCCAGAGTTCTCGAGATATTTGTTGAGGAACCTTTTTAACGGTTGCTCCTTTGCAGGAAATATCCCTAAAGCCAGGAACTTTGAAAGCTTATCTATATTAGGAGGTAGGGGAGTGGCTAGGGAACAATCCTCTTCTATTCCCACCTGGCTGTGAAAGCCGGGGCCGGTACATGAAAGTGGAAAGACGGTTCCTTAATAGTTCCTGCTTTTGCTTTAGTTGGTCGGACAATTTCTAGTTGAAGATACTAGTTTCGCCTGAAAGTTGTCATGAGAATTTTCGGAAAAAACTGCAATTTAACAATTGCTCTTGAGGAGGAAAAATCACTGTTCTTCTATATCCTTGAACTTTGAAAGTGATTCTCGGTTAATAGATAGGTAGGACACTAGGGAACACTCCTCTGCTATTCTTACCCGGCAGCGAAAGCCGTGGGAGAGCACTCAAATTTTTAGTTGATGGAGCTTGTTTTGTCTCAGAGTTCTCGAGAGATTTGTTGAGGAACGTTTTTAACGGTTGCTCCTTTGCAGGAAATATCCCTAAAGCCAGGAACTTTGAAAGCTTATCTATATTAGGAGGTAGGGGAGTGGCTAGGGAACAATCCTCTTCTATTCCCACCTGGATGTGGAAGCCGGGGCCGGTAAATGAAAGTGGAAGGACGGTTCCCTAATAGTTCCTGCTTTTGCTTTAGTTGGTCGGACAGTTTCTAGTTGAAGATACTAGTTTCGCCTTAAAGTTCTCATGAGAATTTTCAGAAAAAACTGCATTTTAACAAATGCTCTTGAGGAGAAAAAATCACTGTTCTTCTATATCCTTGAACTTTGAAAGTGAATCTCGGTTAATAGATATGGAGGACACTAGGGAACACTCCTCCTCTATCTGCGTCTCAGACAAATTGATTGAGACACAGAATTTCTTATTACCTACTACTTACGTTTCAGTCGATGGAACAACTTCTAGTCGATACTTTTGCCGAGGAAAAAGCATTTTAAAGACCAATAGGTAGGGAGGATGCTAGGGAACAATTATACTATGTTGCTGGGGCAAATCGACCATTCTGAGAGGAGCTTCTACTTCTAACTTTCCAGTTTTTTTGACTTTAAAAGTTCGACTTCAAAAGCAGATTAATAACATATTCTAAACGAACTGTCTGCGATGTGGCTAAATTGCTATATTTAGCCGATTTGCATAAACACTTGGCGCATATTTCTCCATATGTATAAAAGCCATTAAAGTCTGAAACGTTGTTTAATGTGGTTTTTTTTCAAGTACTATTCGCGGTTTTATTGGGTTTTGGCGAGGAGAATTTGGTCGCTTACTAAGCGGCGAATGTTTAGGTCGCGAGTTTGCCCCTTTTGCGTCCTCACATTTGCTACGCAGTTATTAAATTAATAGTTGCTGCAAAGTGGTCTTGATTAACTAAATTAAATTAAGTGCTGTCGTCCTAATGCGATTATTATGCAAGTGGATGGGCAAATTATTCGAAAGCGACCGGGTCAGTCATTCTGTCATTGCTCACGGTTTAATAAAAAGCGAAGAAAAACCGATGTTTGGCCGATTGACGCGTCCAATTAGGCCAATCGGATACGGCTAATTGAAGCAGATCAAAGGCCTTTGTGAATGTGATCGATTATTTTGCCTTGACTGGGCGCTAAAAGACGGGCCAGATGAGGCAAACACGCTGATCTAAATAATAGGAATATTTTTAGTTTCACTTGCTTTGGACTGTTGTCCAATTGTTGAAAGTCCCGCAGGAATTTCTGGCCGAGCATGTGGCAGTACTTTACGTCTCTCATGATTGTTTCCTTTCGGTGTGACGGCAAACATTTGGATCTATTTCCGTACTTCCTTAGACGGCTAATCATCGACTCATCGATCGAATCGATGATGATTTCCTTTTGGGGGCGAAAATTCCTAATTTTAACCCACTTGAAGCTGAGCTAGAATAAATAATGCCCAGGCTTTGTAATATGTTTGTTTAATTGACTGGCCGTCCTAATTGGTGATTGTAAATATGCGTCTAGAGCTTTGCTTAGTTGCTAAGTTATTGCCCGCTTCCACTAAATGACTGCTTAAAATAAACCAGCTTAAGTGCAGATTCTTGTTCTAAGTGTTTTCCTGCGAAACTGTTCCGATTGCATTTATGCGGTCTGGGCGACCATGTTGGGATTATGAAAACCCAGGCGTCGAAAATCCCACTTGGAAAGGTGAAAAATGAGTGAAATTCTGCACGGCAAAGACTCGAGTCCCGTAAATTCCCGACCGATCATAAGCGACTTGCAAAACGTCCCGTTCTGTATCCCGTTTTCCGCCGCTCAATTTTTCACGACGAAACGGCTAGAAAAGAAGCAGCGGAACGTCTTGGGTGGCAGCCAGATTTATAAGTTTACTTATGGATGTCGATAAAACAGATCGCCCTTTTTTGTTCTCGTAATAAATGATGATAGTGTGTAATGAACTCGACGAAGATATGAGCATTTTTTCTGCGTTCGGGCACGGCTTGCAAGGAACGAGGAAAATATACAGTCACAATATTTATAAATGTGTCGTGTTGAACAGAAAATGTGGCCGTATTGGTGATGAGCTGCCAACTGATCGGTTGTTTGATTGGAAAACAAGCAAATCGGATCATATCAGAAACAGGAAGATTTTTGTAAATAAAATAATATTCTAGGGCTGCCACATGAGGGCTTTTTCACGCTTGCAATGTTTATTTTGCAACTTTTCTCGCCGATCCTACTGGATTTTGTCTCATCTACTCTTATGAGGGAACAAAAGGCAATTAAGATTAATATTTTACATCACTGACTCAAAAATAAGGAGGTTCAAATTTTCGATTCTTCGGCGTTATCAGGCCACTTTTCAAAATTTTTGTCCGAGTTGCGTTTGTCCGAGTGTCTTTTGCATTAAACAATATTTTAAAGTTTTTTTGGACTTTTTTTTAATTTTTTTTTTCATTGGTGCCATCATCCGGCATTGGGTGGTAAGTTGTCACAAATTTCGCGTTTGTTTCAATAGTGTTTCTTTTCAACTTCCTGAGAGACAAAAGCGGTAAAACTTTATGTTTTTGTAAAACTAAAAACTCTAAAAGTGTCGATTTGTGCTATCATCAGGCATTGGGTAAGTGGTCACAAATTTCGCGTTTGTTTAAAAAAACTCGTTTTTGCATGTTTTTGATATCTTTGCAGAATCCACAACATTTCGATTTTTTGCCATTTTCAGGGCTTGCGTGTTTGTTACAACATTTTCAAAATTAGCGCTTTGGTTCCAATCGAATGCTTTTTGCAAATCATTTTTCGAGCTCTGAATGACGTGTACAATGTCTTGAACAAAATTCTGAAAGTTTCGAGTTTTGTATCTGAAAATTTCGCAATTTTCAGGTAGTTTTTTTATGAAGTTGATAATTTAACTAGAGTTCGTTCATTTTAAATTATGGATGACCAATAGAGGTGAAGATGTGCACATGATTGAATTTTGTGGGAAACATTCGGTTGCCAAAACCCGGAAAGTTTCGCATTTTGCGCCATTTACAGACATTTTATGGCGAATTTCGTCCAAGAAAAGTGCAAGCGTGTCTCTTGCAACGAATTCCTAGAGAACTGAAAAACGGTACAGATTTGCACGTTATTGCATTTTATATGCGGGAAAGTCGATAGTAGAAACCCGGAAAGTTTCAATTTTCAACCAATAGAAGATAGATGGATGTAAATTTGGAGTACTGATGGATTTGCCTTCGTCCGTTAGTTTCTTTATATTGCGAGCCATCATCAGGCAATTTTTGATGTGTGATTCTAATCATATGGCAAATTAAAGTACTCGATTTGAATTTGAATAGTCATAATCAGGACAGTTTTCAAACTAAATTTGTTAAAACCACAATGTGTTAGAATACAGAGTTGCTCAAATAGAAATTTAGGGGTATGATTCGTATCAGTTGGCATGTATGCAGCATATATTTTCTTTGGTAAAACTGGGGTTTGTGAACAAAAAGCGGTGGCATAAAGTTGTCCATTGGCGTGTCAATTTCTGGGCACAATAGTTCAAGTTGGGCTAAAC